TAGGGTTTAGGGTGTGGGTTCAGGGTTTAGGGTTTAGGAAAAGTAGGTTCCTGTAAAGGACCCTTTGCTAATAGTAGTAGAGGCTCCCAAATTAGGAGATCTACTTTGTTTAGATCCTCCCGGAACCCTGGGTGAGGAACCCTACACCCGCAACCTCAAGGATTTCAAACAGACAGCTACTGTATGGGGGCAGTACCCAAGACCCTAAACCCTAATCCCCAAAACCAAAACCCTAAACCCCAAACCCTAAATCAACCTTAACCCATAGCCCTAAGCCCTAAACCCAAAATAAACCCTAACCCTAAACTCTAAACCCTAAACCAGAGCAGCACCCAACTTCCAGCTTCTAAGAAGCGCTCCCCGCTATTCTTCGCTCCCGAAGGCGTTTGTCAGCGCGCTGGCCGCTCGACTGGTCGGGGCTTGTGAGAGCTGGAATGCCCCTAAGGTTTAGGGTTTGGGGTTTAAGTTCGGGTTAGGGTTTAGGGTTTTAGGGTTTAGGGTTTATGCCTAAACCCGCCCCCAACAGCCTTAAGCAATCCAAGAAATTCTCTGAAGCTGAGGCCGCAGCACAGCCTTCGTGGCACAGCGACCCTGGCAACTTGCTGCAGATTCTCCCTGACGGATGATAAAGGTTTAGGGTTTAGGCTTTAGGGTTTAGGGTTTAGGGTTTAGGGCTTAGGGTTTAGGGTTTAGGGTTGGGGCTTGGGGTCTAGAGGTTTGAGCATTGTCTTTCAGTGTGCCTCGAAAGAGGCGGAGACATGTAGGGTTTCCTTCTTCAGACCTAAGCAACCAGCCTGCTCGCGGTACCTTACGTCGGTGGGTTGGGTAATATAGGGGCCTTAATCATTAGAATAAGGTTTTGGAGTATATTATACCAGAAATCTACTAAGGAACCCCCAAAACCTAATCCTAATTATTAAGGCCCCTATACCGTAAACCCTTATAGTAGCCCTTGTAACCCCTTAAGGAACCCTTTAACAGCAGGAACCCCCAAACCCTTATTCCAATTATTAAGGCCCCTACATTGTCAGTCTTATTCTGGCTTCGCGACGCTTCACATCCCTTGAGCAACGAGGCTCCCGAAGGCCAGTCGCCTGAACCCTAAACCCGAACCCCCCCAAAAAAAAGTTTAAAGCCTAAGCGCTAAACCCAAAACCCTAAACCCTAAAGACCAAACCCCAAAACCCTAGACGATAAAGACGAAACCCTGAGCCCTAAACCCCCCTAAATCCTGTTCTGCAGTTTGGAAAAGGGCCCGAAAAAAAAAAAAACCTAAAGCGCGCAACCCCCAGGTTGCTGAATGGCAGTCTCCTGGAGAACGTGCTCTTCGGGCAGCACGAAATGCCAGAGAAGCTGAAGCTCGGCTGCGAAGGGAAAGTCCTAAACCCTGCACCTCAAAAGCCCTTTAGGCTTGAAATCCTAAACCTTAAACCCTAAACAATAAACCCTAAACCTAAATCCTAGGTCCTAGATGCCCTATTAGCCCGAACGTTTTGGACCCTAGAGGCCATAAGTCCTAAGAGGAGGTCTTATCGAGGCTCGAAAAGGAGGTCTCGGATGTGCGGAGGGAGGTATTATCCAAGCAGGGAGCATGTGGAGGCTTGTATACTTCGTACTACCCTTCTCTAGGGTCCCTCGTTATTTCTTTCGTATAACCGTTGCCCCGAACCTTATTCTAATGATTCAGGCTCCTATTTTGGCTCTTATCGGAGGAGTAGGCTCAAGATCATGATCAACTTTAAACCCTAAACCTTAAATCCCAACTTTCGGCTCGGGAGAGCCTCGTATGTCAGCAGTCCAAGGCAGCGAACGCTCGAGTCCTGCGCCTTGATCCAGGATCGGACGGGCTCAGGGTTTGGGGTTTAGGGTTCAGGGTTTAGGGTTGAGGGTTTAGGCTGCGAGTATTATGCTAAAATTATATGAGGGAGCCCTAGGGAACAACGGTTATTGTTCAGACCCATACACTATGAACTTTTCTCTTCGGAGCTCTTGAGTCAGATCTGCCACATCACCCCGTTGGTATAGCCATGAGCTCATAAGGTACAGGGTTTAGGGTTTAGGGTTTAGGGTTTAGGGTTTAGGGTTTAGGGAGCCATGAGCTCATAAGGTACAGCCCTAAAGATTCAAAGGGGCTCACGGCAAGACAAAGACAGGATTCAACGCAGGGGGACCGAGGGTTCACTGAACCCCAAACCCTAAGCCCTGAACCCTAAACCCTAAACCGGGGCTTAGGGTTTAGGGTTTAGGGTTTAGGGTTTAGGGTTTAGGGTTAACCCTGACCGATAAACCCTAAACCCTAGACCCTGAACCCAAGCCGCTGTACTTAGAGGATCATGGGACTTAGTAACTAGGGTTATAAATACGGTAACTATAGTTA